CAGAGTTTGAAAACAGAGTGGGGCTGGGCAGACTCAGAGCAGGGGGGCAGCCAAAAAGCAGGGTTTCTTCATAGTCTGTTCCAGTGCTTACTACCCTGCTAGTGAAATTTTTTTGTAATGTCTAACTTAAACTTATTAAATCCCCCCTCAGTCTTCTCTTCTCCAAATTCAATAAGCCCAGTTCCCTCAGCTTCTCCTCATTAGCCATATGTCCCAGCCCCCAAACCATTTTCATTGCCCTCCACTGGACTATCTCCAATTTGTCCGTATCCTTTCTGCAGTAGGGTACCCAAAACTGGACACAGTACTCCAGATGTGGCCTCATCAGTGCCAAATAGAGGGAAAGAAGCACTTCCCTTGGGCCGCTGGCAACACTCCTAGTAATGCAGCCCAGTATGTGGTTAGTCTTAGCAACAGGGGCACACTGTTGGCTCATATTCAGCTTATTGTCCAGTGTAGCCCCCAGGTCCTTTTTTGCGAGCTGCTGCTTAGCCAATCAGCCCCCAGCCTGCACCGGTACATGGGATTGTTTCATCCTAAGCGCAGGACTTTGAACTTCTTCTTGTTGAACTTCATGAGATTTCTTTTGGTCCAATCCTCCATTTTGTCAAGGTCCCTGAATCCTAGTCCTACCCTCCAGTGTATCTACTACTCCCCTCACCTTGGTGTCATCCACAAACTTGCTGAGGGTGCACTCCATGCCATCTTCCAGATTATTAATGAAGATATTGAACAAAATCAGGCCCAGGAGCAACCGCTGGGGCACTGCACTTGATACCAGCTGCCAACTAGACATCAAGCCATTGGCAACCAATGATCCAGCCATCTTTCTTTCCACTGCATGGTCCATTCTATACCCCCATTTCAAAATCTTACATCTGCCCATGGCAACAGGGCATGCTTTGTGAGGGGACACTCAAGGCTATGGAAGGGGTAAGAGTCTGGAAAGTAGGACTGTGGGAAGATGGACTGGCAGTTAGGACGGCTGCGGAGTCAGAGTCTTGTGAATGAGGCTTTGTCCATGAGGGGACAGACAGAAATAGCAAATGAATGCATATTCCAGTAACATTCTCTATTTTTGTTTTCCTTGATCTTAAATGAAATAATACAGCCCTGTGCCCCTAGCAAAGTGTCTAGTTCCCTTTTTATCGAGAGAAAAATGTTTCATGTTCTATGTGATGATGCATCACACCACATGCACCCCCCTTTTCAAAATCCTATACCTCCCATGACTGCAGATGGTTAGCAGAGGGGCCCGAGGTATTCCGAATTTCAGATGCTTCGAAAGAGCCTTGGGTCCTTGGGGTCAGGAGAGTGGGTGGTAAACTGTGACTGCAATCAGAAATATTTCCTGTGATGTCTTGAGCTTTCAAGTGACAACTTCTTTCAAGGGAAGTACTGGACTGGAAACCCTGGAGATTGATGGTTTCTTTTTTATCTCCAAGGTGCTGGTAGGCCAGTTGGTCCTTCCCAGGGACACTGGCCTTACCCTGGTCATTCAGGGTCACCCAAAGTGGCAAGGTGGCAACAATGATCACACAGGGGAAACTTACCGTCATTTCCAAAGAAAACCAGACACAGACCTATCAGGCCTAGGCTGTGCGAGAAAAAAAAGGGGGGTGGTATTTTACATAACTGGTTTTCACATGGGGCCTGGAAGGAATTTTTTCCCCTCCTCCTGTTTCACATGTCGTGGGGGTGGGGCATGGGAGACTTCACCTTCCTCAGATGCGTTAGATGTTGGCTGCAGCCAATGCTGGGGATTCATACTGGGCTGTGCCGGTGCTCCTGCTGGGACTAAAGCCCAGAGGTTCCTGGCCAGAGGGTCTTTCCCCTCTGCTCAGGGTCAGACCAATCACCATATTTAGGGTCAGGAAGGAATTTTACCCCACACCCAGGTTGTTATGGACTGTCTGTAGGTGGGAATGAGGTCCTCTTCCTGGGATCTCCTAAGCATATATTAACAACATCTGCAGCTGCAGGACATTGACCACTGTGGCTCCCACTGCTTTACCTGATGCAGGTTAGGGCATTATGACTTCTGTTGTGTCAGAGTTGACTGTATAGTTTTGCTAAGAGGTTAGGCAATTAATTTGTCTGTATAGGGTAGTTTGGATAAGACTGATCTTGCCTCAGGCAGGGGGGTGAACTACATGGCCTCTGGAGGTCCCTTCCCACCCTACTTCTGTATGATACTCTTGAGATCCTGGGCTCCCATTGCCCTGAGCAGAGTGAGGCCCGATGCACGTCCCATCACAGCTCATTTGCAATAGGTAACCTGTGAACCTGAGGCCAAAGGGCCCAGAACAGAAGTGGTTGAGTACAGAGGGATCCAAGCCTGGTTTTGAGCAATCTATTACAGATAGATAACACCAGGTACCTGGCTTCATAGCAGTCATAACTGATTTATTGGATCAGTGCTACAGAATGCAGAGTCACAACCCCCAGGATTTGACCCCACTTCTTCCACACCCACAGGAAGAAACCTACACCATAGCACCATGCCAGCCCCAACTCAGCCTGAGACAACTGGGGGACCTGGGAAGGCTATGAAACCTGCCCACTTCCTGTAGTGCCTTGGCCCTTGGACCCTCATGCTTGCTCCTGTCCCTCTACTGGCTGTCCTGGCCCTGATCTACTGCTTGCTTTGACCACGATTTCATCTCAACCCTCAGCTTGATACCTGGATTTGACCTTGGCTTTCACTCCAGTAAAATCATGGCTTGCTGCAATCCAGTAAGACTGACTGCTACAGGTGCCTACAAATCCACTGTATTCCAGTTGTCTGAGACCACATGCAATCTCTGGACATGTTGCCCACCTATAGCTGGCAACTCAGAGCTACCATGCCCTGGTAAACCAACTACAGGAAGAAAATCAAGATTTGCCATCCCAGATCAGGGAGTCTAACACTGTCCAGAATACCCTTTTTGCTTCCAGTACTAATGTAATACCTTGACTACCCATACCTGAGGGGTATAATGGTTTCAGAGAAGTATCATGTGGCTTTTTCAACCAATGCCACTTACATTTCCTCATGTACTCCCTGGAACACCTCACTGATAACCAGGTTTCCAATTACACTTTGACTCGGGGGGAGGGGAGGGGCACGGGGGATCTGCAAAAAAAATTAAACCGATTCATTGATTAACAAGTCCATCTAAGTGAAGGAGCAATCTGATTGGTGCCCCCACCCCGGTTATGATTTTCTCATCAATGGATGCTCATCAATGATGCTGGGTCCTCTTCCTTTTCTGCTTTTTATTTACAGTAATGTACTGGCTACAGAGGAAACATGGAAAAGTGGATTCCTTGTCTCAGAAGGGTAAGTATTATACACAAGAGCCCAGACCAGACCCAGCTGCCCCAAATACAATCCCACTTCAGAGGTTCCCTTGTAGAACTATGTCCAGTGACTCCAGATGCCCATACAAGAGCATCAGAGTTCCTTGAGACTTCCCTATATCTGAAAAGAAGAACTCTTGTGTCCACAGCACTGATGGTACCTCCCTGAAGGATCCCTCTGTCTGGGAACACTCTGAGAGTAACACAATACACTTTGAGAAAGAGCACTTTGGCCAAAAGAAGAACACTTTTGATACAGTCCTGTCATCCTGGTGACCCTGGATGAGGACCTCTCTATGAACTTGGGTCCGATCCTGCATTTTCTGCAGCTACCCCAAGACACAAGAGCATAAGAAATGCCATATTGGGTCAGAGCAGTGGTCCATCTAGTGCAGTCTCCTGTCTCTGACAGTGGCTGTACACAGAGATCAGTGAACCAGATGTTTCTAGAGTGATCTATGCCCTATTCAATACCCTCCCTGTCATCCACCAGTTATTGGGTTAGAGATGCCAGAGGACACATCTCCAACTGTTCTGTTCAACAGCAATGATTAGATCTTTCCTCCATGTTTTTACCCACTCCCTTTTTGAACGTGGCTAGGCTATCTGCTGAGGCAAGGGATTCCACAAGACTCCCCTTCAGGAATCTTTCAAGCTCTTCATACCCACAGAAATACCCTCAAGCCCTTCAGCTCCTATTACCATGGACTTAAAGTGGAGCTATGAACCTCCAAGGGCTAGGATACCATTATTGCCATGGTAGACAGGTTAACAAAGGCTGCATCTACACGAGATGCTGACTGCACAGTAGCTTGTTACTACTGTGCAATAGCGTTGTATGGTAGGAAGCGTGACATGGAGCAGTCAGCTACTGCTCAGTCAGCATCACCTAAAAGCCATCTGGTGATGCTACTGCACAGTAACTCTGGTTACTGCACCATCATTTAGTACTTGTTTATACAAGTACTGAATGACGGTGCAGTAACAACTGTGCAGTCAGCATCTCATGGAGACATGATCAAAAACGACCTATTTCCTGCCCTGTGTCCAGCTTCCATCTGCAAGGACTATGGTCAGTTCTCTAGTATAACATGTTTTTCAGTTACAGTCTTCCAAATTATATCATTTTGGATTGTGGCCCCCAGTTCCCATCTTGCTTTTGGGAAGAGATGTGGAGGCTGCTATCTTTGATGGGTCCTCTGACTGAGAAGAAAACGAATGGCACTTTATCATGCATCAGCAGATGCATAACAAATAGATCCAAGGAGGTGATACTTCCCCTCTATCGGGCGCTGGTCAGACCGCAGTTGGAGTACTGCGTGCAATTCTGGGCGCCGCACTTCAAGAGGGATGCAGATAACCTGGAGAGGGTCCAGAGAAGGGCCACTCGTATGGTTAAGGGCCTGCAGACCAAGCCCCACGAGGAGAGACTAGAGAACCTGGACCTTTTCAGCCTCCGCAAGAGCAGGTTGAGAGGAGACTTGGTGAGTTTTTATTCACCAAGGCGCCCCCGGGGGTTACAAGAAATAATGGCCACAAGCTAGCAGAGAGCAGATTTAGATTGGACATTAGGAAGAACTTCTTCACAGTTCGAGTGGCCAAGGTCTGGAACGGGCTCCCAAGGGAGGTGGTGCTCTCCCCTCCCCTGGGGGTCTTCAGGAGGAGGTTAGATAGGCATCTAGCTGGGGTCATCTAGACCCAGAACTCTTTCCTGCCTATGCAGGGGGTCGGACTCGATGATCTATTGAGGTCCCTTCCGACCCTAACATCTATGAATGGGAATTGCATCCCCTGGGGCACTGAAAGCTAAAACCTATAGCCTGAATGGAACAATTCAGCAATGGGTATTGACAGGAGTAGATGAGATGAAACCTTGGGGGCCCTCTAGTTCCTGTATCCCAAGAGAGTTGGTGTGGAAATGAACACAACTTTCATGGAGGAGGAGCTTTGAGAGAGCAACTACTTGGGAAGAAAATAATCCAGAAGGAAGAGGTGGAAACTTTCAGTTGCTTGATTGTGAAGCTCTGCCTGGTTTGGGCCAGTAGCTCAGACCCGATTGGGACACAAACCTTCATCTCCTTCTCATGAGGTTAGTGTGAGCTTTTACCTCTTGATCTTCTCCTCCACTTTACTTAACTTCTTTTTAAATTTTTCCCTCATTTCCAGCACCAGGTGGGATTGGGCCTTCTGGGCCTCACAGGCTTTGTCTAGCTCCGCTTTCTTAGAGCTGAAATGAGCATCAGAACAGTCCAGGCAGAGGATTTCTTTTGCTTGGCTGAGAACAGATGGGCTCTTCCCATTTATCTTGGTGTAGGTCTCTGACATCACCTGTCCCAGGTGAGCCACACTGAAAGCTTCAAACGCCTGGTTGATGTGCTGTTTGTCTTCAGCAGAACCTAAATAGTCCTTGATCCAGTTGAGGCAGGAGTCTATCAAGTGGGAGATCATCTGGAAGAAACTCACCATCTTCTCCCACTGCTCCTTCACCTTCCCTAGTGCCTCCAGTCCATGGCCCAGAGAGACAACCTTGGCCTCCAACTCCCTTTCTGCAAACTCAAGTTTCATTCTGGTTTTCTCAGTTTCCTTGCGTGTCTCTGTCAGCTGAATGAGGGTTTCACAGCTGCCCTCATACCTCTCCTGGATGTCTACCAGTCTTTTCCTATGTTGCTCTATTTCTGAGTTGTCTTCTTCCTTCATAGCCAAGGGACAGGAGGTCCGGATGGCCTTCAACTGACTGATAGCTGCTTCCTCCTGCTTTTCCTGCCACACTTGGTTCTTCTTTGCATGGGTGACATCCTGCTTTATTCTTTTCTCCTGCCCTGTAGCCTGCTCCCATTCTTTCTGCACAGCCTTTAACTGTTCATTAAAGCTTAACTTGGCCTTAGACCAAACTTGCAGCAGTTCCTGGAGGTAATTTACTGAGTCCAAGAACTGCTCCTTGGTCTCCTGAGCGGTGGACTTGCAGGCCTCAGCTTCCTCTCTGTCAGTCTGGAGCTCATCCCTTCCTACCAGAGCCCCCTGGATAACTCCTTCCATCATCTCTGAGAAGCATTCAAACCACACGTTGATCATGTCTGTGTTGCTATTGGCATTGTTGAAGGCTTTCCATCCTCGTTGACTCACTTCATACAGACAAGTCCTGAAGGTCTCTGTTCCTTTCATGTACTTCAGCCTTTCCTTGGGGAAGTCCTTGGAGAAATGGAAGTCATCCTCCTCCATGGACTTGATCACCAGTTCTCCCAGGGTGGCAACAGAAATGGGTGCTGGCATGAGGAATTTCTCCCAGTTGGCTTTGGGCTCCATCAGCAGCTCAAACTTCTCTCCCAGCTGGTCTACTTCTTGGTGGTTCACCTCCAGTTTTGCTACAGCTTGAGCCTGTTTCATTTCAGTCGCCATTGTGTAGCTCTGCAAAACAGAGAGAAGTCATGACATGAAGCTCCATTTGCTGGATACTCAATCACAGGATTCTGCATTGTTTTAATCCGACCCAATCTTAGCAGTGCAGATATCTATATCTGCTCCCAGACTCTCTCTCAGGGAGCATATCACTACTCTTACACTCTTGCCTGGTAGTGGCATCCAACTGTCCAAGCTGAAAGACTGATCCTGAACCCCACAACATCCACTCTGATTATCTTAAACTCACCCTCCCCAGAGCTCCTGTGTCATGGGTCTGCTGGTCTACAGTTTAACCCTCAATGGAGGGGGAGGGGGGACAACAAAAGCAAGCGATGAAGACTGTAGAAGTGTTTCTAAACCACATGCTGTGATCCTAGAAGTCACACAGACCTTGGCAAAAATAAGGCAAATCCCATATTCAGTTAGTCCACTGTCCTTGAGGGTTCTCCAAATTTTGATCAATGTCTTCAGAGTCCCAAGACCTTCCTTTCTCCTTCCATCAGGTCATAATGAAACAAAAGAAATGAACAGGCAGATACTCAGCTGACATTACCCTTTTCACTAGAGTTGTTAGGATGGTCAAGAGCAGTGGGAGCCAACCTTTTTAGTAGGTGTGCCACAAAGTAGCTCTGTGCCCTGCCCAAGCACCACTCTGTTCCCCTTCCCCTGCCTGATCCCTCTCCTCAGCTTTTTGCTTCCAGCCCAGTGCTCCCTGCCTGATCTGCTCCTCTTCTTTATGCTTCTTGCTGTTTCCCTGTCCAATCTGCTGCTCTGCTTTCTGCTCTCTTCCCTATCTGCCACTATGATGCCCATCCCCTCCCCAATCTACTACAGGCCACACATAGTGGCTACCCATGCCACAGGTCAGCCCCCACACCCTCCAGTCCAGGGAAAGGGCAGCAGCTAATTTGTTTAGTAATAACTTTTATTGGGCCAAATATGGAGTCAGTAGAGATGTTAGACAAGCTTTTGGGAGGCCCAAGCAGGAGTATTTTATGCCCAGAAGTTTGTCTGATATCTCCCCCCAGCTCTATAGCTGCTCCAATAAAAATGATTACCAAATCAAACTCACTTCTTATCCTTTTAGATCTGTCAGTCCTTTTTGTCCTGGCACCCTCCTGGTAAGCCTTGGCCCCTCTCAGGTGATATGCTGTTTGGTTACCAGCCCCCTACAGCTAAAATGTCTGTTTTCCTGGAGAAGGCAGAGTAGAGATAGATACCCATCCCCTGCAGTCAGTTCTTACATCGCAGTAAGCCAATGCAAAGGACCTTTCATTGCTCAGCATTGTTTGGCCTATTCCAACACTGCTTGTAATTTGAAGACAGAAGGTGCAGAGCAGACCCACAAAATAAAATGGAGTTGAGAGTTGGATAGTTTGATAATGGTGTAATCATACATGATCAATCTTTTGCTTTTTGTCTGCAGCAGTGATGCAATCTGATTTCTGCAAAGCTGGAGTGATCTGTCCAGGGCCCAAAAGCCTGAGCAGTGTCTACGGAGACACTGGGTTGCTCATACACCAGTGTCCCCCTCTCAGCCTTGCTGGTTTAATCCAAAGTAAAGCCAGTACATTTGGAACCAGATTGGCTGCAGGAGCTACTGGGAGTGACAGAGATTGTCCATTTGTCCATCTATGGGGGGTCCACTCCTGGACTGGCCGCCAACCAGAGCTAAAGAACCTAGTCTACCCTATCTTGGAGTGGACCTCAGTCCTCCAGCCTTTTGGCAACATTTCCTCCAACAAGGGTAAGCCTAATACCCTCCACTAGGGGTGTACCAATAGAGATTTTTTTGGCTGATACTGATAGCCGATTTTTAACGAGCCATATCAACCAATACCGATTTGATTGCTGATATGCAGCCCAGCAGTGTCCAGCTAGCAAGTCTGTTATGGGGGAAAGGGGGAGCGGGGAGGGAAGGGGCATGTGGGGACAGATAGAGGCACCCATGGTGAAGAAAGGAGTGGGGCTAGGGCAGGGGCAGGGGCTGCACAGCCGGGGCGAAGCATGGGATGGAGCTGGGAGTGGCTCTCCTGGGGGAGGGGTGGGTGGACAGCAGGGTGACTCCCTCCATTACACGGACCCAGGAGGGCATGGGGGGGCATGCCCCCCAATCTGTGTGTAAAGCTGGTCCAACCCCCCCACACTCCCTGGACTAGCCACTCATGGCTCCTTCCCTCATCCCAGCCTGGATGTGCAGTGCCCCAGCCCCAGCCCCACTGCCTCCCTCACCACTGGGGCTTCAATCTACCCTCCCGCCCCTTCGCTGCTAGCAGAATTACCACCCAGACTTGGCTGCTCACCACACTGCCAGGCTGCCTCCTGGCTGCCTGCATGCTGCGCCGTGGCTGTGCACATGCATGGGGCATTTATCGGTGACATTATCGGCCATATCAGCCACAAAAGGCCAACTGGCAATACTGTCAATTTTCTTTATATCAGTGTCAATCTGATATGGGACCTATGCATCAGTGCACCTCTACCCTCCACTAAAGTTTTCTTCTGAGCCAAGTCATTGGGACTTGAGTCATTGAGGTTGCCAGCTTATTTAACTGCCATCCAGCACTGGGGATTAACAATTGCAGGTAGGACCCTCTACTGTAAATTACAGTAGAAGGCAAACCTGACCTGATACCCACCAGACACAAATGTGTGAAAAGTAAAACCAGGAAAACAGAAAGACTGACAGAAACACAGGCAGAAAGAAAAGTGCCTCATGGTTAAAACCAGCTCTCCCAGTTCCTTCCATTTTTCCCCCCACCCCCTCGATCACTTTTTTGGTGTTTAATGGGTCTCTGTGGATATCACAGGTGGATCTAGGATTTGAAAACAGGGTTGCAGATGGTGAGGTGACTCATCACATATAACATAACATAGATTTTTCTCCAGTTAAAAAGAAACTCGAAGCTTAATAGACTGGGGGTCCCTGTCAGCTGGTGGGAGGCAGGGGGTAGGGCAGGGCTGGGGAGAGGGGTGGTTTGGCAGCCTCCTGGGAGGCTGCTGGACTGTCCCCTCCTGCTGGCTTGGGCACTGACACCTGGCAATTGTCAGCTCTCTTCCCCCTGCCCCCTGCACGAGCATCTCGACAGCAGCAGCCAGGGCTGCTGCACCCAGAGCTTGGGCAGGGGGAGGGAGGAAACACAGCCCCCTGCCTTGCAGGCCTGGCCCGCCTTCCTGCAAGACCCCAGCAGGGTAGCTCCCTCCCCTTCCCACCTCCAGCTGCTCAGGGAGGAGACAGAGATTTTCCTAAATTAACCCTCACAGGAAACCTACACACAGTTTCCCTAACGAGCTCTGCCCTGGAGTGCCCCTATCTGATACTACAGGGTTACATTTTCATGCAATCAGCCATTTTAAAAGCTCTCTGCAGCTGTGAACATTTGCTGTGTTAGGGCTGTAGAGCACTTCTGGGGTCCATCATGCAAAAAAATGTAACTCTGTACACCCCCTCAGACAGTGGGGGGTTAGTGCTGCTAGATTGACTGGACTATGTAACAGCAAGCAGATCCATCTCACTGGCAGTCCCACAATTTGAAGAGGATCTCTACCATGGGTCATTGATGGGTCATGAAGGGACCTAAGGGTCTTATCCTTGAGCCGCACATCCATCTGCAGAAGTTGCAGGTCCGTCTACAGCACAGGTGTCAAACGTACGGCCTGTGGGTTGGAGCCAGCCCACAGAACTGTGCCATCCAGCGCTCTCCAGCAGGCTGCTGCACGTCAGGGGCAGGGCTTGTGGGACATCGCCTGCTGCAGAATTTGGGAACCCAGTGCACATGGCTGTCAGTGGCAGGTGTGTGAGCATGGGCTAGGTCCAACCCCTGCTGCCCAAATGCAGACCCAATGCAGTGCTGATTGGCACCCACTGAGGATGTGACTAATTACATCAGTTTGCTACCACAAGCCTCAATTCTCAGTTGATTGCTCAACCTGTCATTAGCCCAGTAATACTTAACCGATGAGCTCTGGCACCCTGGGGTGCCCTGAGATCCTTTCAAAGGTGTCACACAATGTTAGCCCCGTTACAATTCACAAGGTAAACCCAGAGATCTCAAAGAGGAATCTGCAGTGTTAAAAAAAAAATCCTTCCCTGTTGAGGTTTTTCTGAGTTCTTTGTAACACAAAGCAGGCTATTCTTCCATACTTAAAAACTAATGAAACCTAAAAATTGGCATTTTCCCAGGCCAGGGGTCCTTAAGTGGAACAAGGTTGAGAACCACTTCATTAGGCCTGTGATTTGCCGAGACCAGAAGGGGTTTTCATGCATTTAAATGGTGGCCCAAAATCCCCATCAACTCAAAAGAACATCATCCCCAGGAAAAACAGAAGCACAAACAAGTCAGAGGAAGACTAACCTCTAAATATGGGGGGTAGATGCTCAGCTGCTGTGAATCTAAGTAACTCCCCAGACTTCAGCGATGTTCACCCACACTGGGGGTCCACCCCAGCAAGTCCAGTGGGTTGATGGTAGCTGGAGATCTGGACCGGCGCACTCCTGTGAAGCAACACTTTCCAGTGCAGAGGGACATCATATAAATCATATAATCCAGGACAACTCTATAGGAATCAAGGAAGCAGGATCTCTACCTGGGGTAAATTAGCATATTGAAGTCAATAGATAAATGCTGATTTACCACAGCTGTTGGATCTCTCTCTCAAAAAACTTTCAGTTCCTTTTTTGTCTTACCAGCTCCCAGCGACAAGAAAGGCTTATCTTCTTGGGAGGGCAAAGTCACATGAGTTTTTTCAGACTGAGTGCATCCGGTAGCCAGCATCAGCCTCCCTTGCTGGTGAATTATTAATGAATAGGGCCTTTTTACGCATGCGCAGTTTTGCTCATGCAAATGAACTTACAGGAAGCTCTGCTTACCAGGGCAGTGAGCCTTCTTAAAGGAATAGTACACGAAAGTGAGAGCAGAGAGATGACTAATCCAGTAGATGAAGCTGAAATCACATCTGGTGTTTGGAAGCTGAAAATTATATCCTGTCTGTTAATTGTGAAAGATAGAGGTAGGTCAAAACAGGGTGAGGCAGAGCTGTTAGATCAGTGACTGGAAACAACATTGATTTTTTTTCATCCAGCACTGGACAAGCAGAGGACAATTCTGGCATCTTTGCACAGCTCTGCTTTCCATTCCTCTAGCAATGGGAGGACCGAAGATTTTGCAAAAGGCGGGGCAGATGCTGTGGCGCATCATCCCATATAACACAACACCTATTGTTCTCCAGGTCAAAAGTAACTGGAAGCTTTACTAATATGCTAGGGGGGCAGCACTTTACTATTTACCTGAAGATCAAAGCAAAAACAAACATGACTTTCTTAGAATGTGCAATAATTTGCTAAATTTTACATGCAGTTTAAAAAACTCAGCCTAGGCAACAAAAAAGGTCAACAGATAGATAAGCTTTTATTAATCCTGTAATTGTTATAGTTAATTATACATCTCTTTTTCAGATCTGGAAAGCAAAATCTAACCTTCTTGAGCATCCTGACAGTGCATCCAACACTTCACTGTCAGTCATGTCCACACCTGAATTAAGGTTTTTAGCTAGAGCTAGAGTTAAAAAAAGGCAGATATTACTAGGAACAGCTAACAGACAGCAAAAATTGCCAAAGAAATGCTAGCTTGCTTAGCAGAACATCAATTAAAAAGGAGAGAGGACTGTTCACATCTGCAGCGTGGAGAGAAATTACAAGGAATCAGGGAAAGGATAATGAGCCATGAAGTCAATTGACTCTTTCTTTCAGCTCTACCTGAATAGAAATGTCGGTGCCACAAAATTTCAGGAAGCAGTTGCAAATATTGTCCTTCCAGTTTATAAAAAGTAAAAAGCCCCCCAGGCCACCATATTTGGAAGATCTATATAAAGTTTGAAAATTGCTAAAAAAAAATAACCATCTGGCTCCTGTACAGCCTAATGAGATAAATGAGTTGAAAAACAGGAGGCCTGGTTTCCATGACTGAGGATAACTCTGGTTCTTGTTACCCTGGAAATTTCCAT